ATACAGAGTGTACAAACATTTCAAAATTATGAGTTGAAAAACGCTGACTCCGCGAGATTAAATATTAAAGCGGAGCGAAGCGGCGACGCACTGGCGCCTACAAACCTAACAAGGATACTTCACGCATTGCGCAATGCGTGAAGTATCCCTGTTAGGTTTGTAGGCGCCGCGAGAATGCGTGTTTCGCACTCTCTGCCCGCCCGCCGCGCCGCAGCGTGCTACGGCGTCTGAAGCAACTATTTCGCGCCAGTGGTATTGCACAGTATCATGAGAAATTGAAGGCGCTCCAACATATAAAGAATGGCAGGCATCCTTCAAAAGTACGGAGCTTTCCTCGCATTATAAATCCAGATACTACGGCACAAAAAGAGAGCGGTAGTCCAAAAACTCACCAAGTCCTAGTATCCGTATATAGTAACGTTTAGCATAAACTTCATCGTCTACCTGTTGCTTAATCGCCATCGGCTATAAAAGGCTATAAGAAATTGTGCAACCGGCTATAAAAGCTATTGGAAATCTTACAGCCAGCTTTATGTCTATGGTATTTTGGAACATAGATTCTACTGCCAATTTTTACCAGGGAACAGAGAAAAACGGACCATCGCCTAAGATCCTTGCTCGATTTAAAAAAAAAAAAAATCTTTGGTATACTATGTGGTGCCTGCACATTTGCCAATTTAGAATTAACTATATGTCAGATAAAAGCTCTTATAAAGAGTATTTATGTAAAGCTACGTAAGTTTTGTCCGATGTTCGTTTATGAGAGCATAGGTCATAGTGTTTTTGCTCGATGTAAGTGGTTTACTTAAATTTTCCTGAGCTTGTCTGATGCACTTTTTATAATTAGGTTAGCTAGAAAATATTTGCAATGCCGCGGCGTTTGCTGGTGACCTCTTAGAGTTGGATAACGAATTTGCTTTCTTATTCGAAGAGAGATTTATACAACTTTAAAGAATTACCAGAGACTCCATGCAAATCCCAAAAATTCATTCAGAATTTCCAAGTCGGACTTAATTTTTTTTTCTCTCTTTCTCTCATTTTCAAAATTATGTTTCCTCTGATATTTGGACGTTTTACGACATCCTGATCCTAATAAAACCAGTCTCAATCGGTCAATGAAAATCAATTTTACAGAATTTCGTCTATAAGCCTTACGCCCTCCTCTCAAAAACGATTATGCGAGTTGGCACCACCGGACTTCATCGACTCAAACGCATATAAAGCAATCGAAGCGTATTGAAGTTGAGTACCATACCCGAAGGGAATTGTTTACAATGGACTTAATTTGAGAGAAAACGGTTTTGCCGACAACCAATAATCGCCACTGCACTCTTCGTAAATCTGATGGGTGACATATGTAATGTTCAAGGATAAAATAAATTCCGCTTTTTTCCATTTTTTTTCCACATTTTTCCCCCACTTTTTTTTTTGTTTTAAAAAATCAAACTTTTTAAAATTGTAAATTCTTTTCTAAATGTTTCTAAATTTTGGTAAATTATCTAAATTTCCTTTACACCTTTCATTCATATGTATTTGCAAACATTTTTATTATTGTTGCTTAAATCAATTAATAATCATCCAAATTCGTTTTTTTATCGTTTATTTCTGTTAAAAATTTTGTAGTTGAGTCTGTGATTATAGTTACGTTATTTTGTTTGTGTTGTTTTTTCTTGGTTGCACCACCCATCACAAGTCTTACTTAAAGGGTGGCGGGGTGAATTTATTTTTATTTTTTGAAATCTTGTTAAAATTGGCTGTGATATTTGTACCTACTTGAAGTGAAATAAACGAATTTGAATTTGAAATAATTTTTCAATGGGCCTGTTGCATGCAAGAGATACAGCCGCGCGAATAGACTTTTTAAAGGTTAAATGACACGAAAATTACGATGGTCACATTAAAAAAGTCTGAAATACACTCCTTACTGCGCAATTTGCGTTGTTAGGAACGCGCTTTTTCAAATTTCCCGCGTCTGGGGGCAGTTTTCTAATCACCGGAAACGAGCAAACGGCGGGCTCGGTGATTTCCGGAAGATGCCGAGTCGTTGTTGTTGTTGTTATTTTTTCCTGCACTTTGTTTACAAACCCAACGTGATCTTTTATAGTGGTCCATCTACGCTTTATGCGCTAACCAAATCGATCAACTTTTAAAAATCCAACGCAATCCTCCTACATTATTTCATTTCACCATATTACGAGCTCCGATTTTTAGGTTATGTTGTCAGTTTTAGTTGACCGGAAATAGCCGCGAGTTGCCGTTAATTGTTTCCGTTAGAAAACTGCCCCCAGACGCGGGAAATTTGAAAAAGCGCGTTCCTAACAACGCAAATTGCGCAGTAAGGAGTGTATTTCAGACTTTTTTAATGTAGCCATCGTAATTTTCGTGTCATTTAACCTCTGAAAAGTCTATTCGCACGGCTGTATCGCTTGCATGCAACAGGCCCATTCTCAGGTATATTAATTTTTAATCGCGTTTGATTCTACTATAGGCACGAGTCGGTTTGGGCCGCTTGATTGCGGACAAATTAAAAAATATGTTTCTTACCTCTTCCATTCTTAGGAGACTTCAATCGATCTCTGCAACTTTCAAGGGTAGTCCACGGCGAAACAAAATCGAAGAGCTACATCTGGATTGTAGGGAAACGGTAGAGATGTGGGAGGGGGGGGGGGTTAGTATCACAGTACATGAGAAGGGATGAAAGTCAACCGTACAAGAGCTACAACATGCATGTTCACCGAGGGGTATCAGCGAGTGGCTAAAGGTTAGACGCGCAACCGACAATGAGCCGTTACACCCGATAGATCGGCGCTTTTTATATCCTGTATTTCAGACCGCAATAACCATTGTAAAGTATAGTACTTTTATAAATTTTTCTCCCCCTCTTCTCGTCCTTGTTGATGTCGTAAGCACTAGTCTAGACCCTACGCACCGCTTTTACGGCCACGATCCCGACACATCAGCTACGTCAGGACTTTCTATGGAAACTATAAAAACTGTAACCATTAGAAGATGATTACAGTTTTTTCAGGTTTTCAGCCTTTTAGAAAAAAGTCGCTTAGACACGAGCGCTGCACGACGATTCTGCGCCCTTCTTTCTAGTGTTGACGTTTCCGCGTGCATCGAAAGTGAGATTGAGATTTCCGCATCTTTATTCACTGGTAAATATTTACACTGAGCAACGTGGCAAGACTGCGGTAAGAAAATAAGAATGTATGTGTAAAGCCGCTTTTATAGCGCTCTCTGGCGCTCTGCGATACCTAGCCGCCAAAGCCTCAGGGCTGGATTAAGGGGATGGCCACATGGGCCGCGGTCCATGGTGACAAAAGGGGGCGACAAATTTTGCAGTTTTTTCAAATGTCGGTATAAAAAAAAAAATCGGATTCAGAAAAATAAATACGAACGATGAAAAGCGACAAAATCTCTCATTTCCTGAGTGTACAGTTATTCTAATTGTATCGTCTCTCGGCGATCAAGAGACAGCACCTTTAATTAGTTAAGTTAAAAGAGGAAGGAGACACACAATTTGGCATGGAGCGGCGCGGCGCAGAGAGCAATGATGACTCCTCAACCCAGAAATTCTTAAACCGTAAATGAAAATTATAATTTTTTTATTCAAATTTATAGAATTAAACTTAAATTGATTTATTTAGAAAATACTATATTTAGAAAATACACTAACTAATCTCCAGAGTATAATTATGTAACTTATAAAATAAAGAAGAAACTTTAACCTAATCCTTATCCTATAAATAAATCAGCAGATGGTAATCATTGCGGAACTATAACCTATCATTTTTTGAATAACACCATTATTTAATCCTATAAAACTTCCAAAAACTGTTGAACTAACTCTAGCGAAGAAAAATCTTGAAATAGAAAATAAATAATATAATAAAATCAACGGAATTAACTTTATTAGAGTAAATAAAATAAAACAAGCAGAAAAATGCAACATGAATATGTTGGAAAAGCGTGCCGAATAACTAAAATGTTGGACACATACCTACTATTTTCACGTCTTTGTTATTTGCATCAATTGGTACTTTTTGCTAAATTTGGGAGAAAATATTGATTCATGAACGTTGAATGTAAATTGATTTTAAAGATTCCGTCCAATTATCTTGATTTTAAGCTGATATGCGGCATTTCGCACGACCGTGATTTGGGCGAACTGCCGTGCATCGAAATCGCGTTGAGTTAATCTCTTTGGATTTCGAACTGTAACTTCTCTCCTATTCGGCCGATTTTTACAAATGAGGTCTCTTTTTATTTGTACTTTAACGGAAAGTAAGGAAAAACTCGCTAAATAGACGGAAAACAATTTTTGTGAAAATTTGGTGGATCCTGGCGTCACGGTGAATGGTTAATAGGGCGTGGAAGATAATAGGTTCGACGAGGCGACCCTCTCCTCGCCGTCTTTTATTGCCTTGCTCGAAACCTGACACCCAAAGCTATATCGGGAGATAACTGCAGTGGTTTGAGTGGATTTCTGCAGGGGCCACGGTTAGTACATGGTATAAAGAGTCACGAGGCTCATCACAGATTGCACTTGCAGTGCAAGACGCTCATTGGCTAAACAGTTTTGGCGGGAAAGAAGGTTCTAGAGTTGAGTCCTCCGAGCGTAAGAAAGCTTCTATGAGGTTTTTGTCAAATGAAATAATACGGTTTTGACAGGAAAATGTTCTCAAGGGTTCCCAATTAGCAGTTCATTCGGTTTTTTGGTAAGAGACCATCAGGGCTTGACAGTATAATGGTTCAAAGACAAGAAAACGGGTCCGAGGAAAAAAATATTTGGACGGCCCGTTGAATAGCATTGGTTCATCGGTGTGCTGTACTATGGTACATCCGAGTGATTTCAAAAAGCGAGCCCTACTGGCACGCTTAAAATCTCATTCATTCAAGTTTTCCACAAATTAAAATAAACCAAAAGTGAAAGGGAAATATTCCTATCTAAGTATTAATCCCAGAATTAAGATAAACCTACGCAAAAGCCCAAATTAAATATATAAAATAAAATAAGCACAATTATGACTGAAGAGAAGCCCTCGGCGCGGCGGTCGGCATGTTATACATATCAGCACCTACAAGACTGCATGAATACTTCACGCATTGCGTCCAACACACTGCGGTCAGCAGCGGTCGACGTGAAAGGCATAGCGCCTACAAGACTGCATGAATACTTCACGCATTGCGTCAAAAACAGTGCGGTCAGCGTGAAAAGCATAGCGCCTACTAGACTTCATGAATACTTCACGCATTGTGCTAAACACGGTGCGGTCAGCGCGGCCCGGCGGCGGAAGTCAAAATTATTAAACCATATTTATGTTTGTTCTTGCATAAGTTTTATGTTCATTTCTTACAAATGGAAGGCCTTGTTCACACAGAGATTAGTTTATGGAACTTGATTTTCGCGCTAAAGGCCGTGAATTTTTGCTAGTAGTGTTGACAGGGCTTTTGCAAAAAATGTGTCCAACACGCGTAAACGCATCTTGTGCACCCGCAGCAGCATCCCTCCCTTTCCGGTACGTTCTCTTGACGTTTTTTATTGAAGTTTCAAAACGAATGAGAAGGGGGCGGCAAGATGCAGGCGGCCCATAGGCGGCAAGTAGGTAAATCCAGATTTACCTACTTGCTTTTAAAGTCCCCTATCCTCCCAAAGCCCTTCAGGGAGTTGGCGAACCCTCATTTCTTCTAAAACCCCCTGCCGCCACCCTTTTACTGTTCGTCCTCTTCGTCTCCTCCCAGGAGGAACCCAATCAAGCAACTTCTTTGGCAGCTTTTCGTTCGTTATTCTATTGAAATGACCATACCAGACAAGCTGTCTGGTCATGACGTCGAATATGACAATAAGAATACAAATTAAAAATCCAATTAAAATATTATCACTTCACCAGTAGAAGGTAAGAAAGGTCTTCAATGGAATCATTGTTCGCTCCCAATTCCGTGTCACGGCGACTTTTTATGTCTTGAAAAAGCCCCAAAAATTCGAGGGTCGTCAATTCTTCATTCCTACAGGAAGTGGTTGCGAAATGGATTCCACTGGCTTTATCTCTTTGCGGTTTTTCGAAAAATGCAAATTTCATTTTTACGAACCGATTTTGATTGCCGTTCGACACTGCGGATTTGCAGTTATACCAAAAATGGTGCGGGAACGTCATTTGACGTCCAACTGACGTCAAATGAAAAAGGGGTGCGGAAATGACACAATGCAACAACGTCATGCTGCTCGATACTGCCGTGCTAAGGAAAAACGCCGTCGGAAAGGAAACAACCCACATTTTCGAAAAAATTGAGGTAAGAATGTTTCTGAGTCTCACTGGCCGTACATTTGCTCCTGCCAAAAACTGAAACTCTAAAAACAAACAAAAAACTTGTGAAAAGAGGGGTTAAAGTTTGTTTTTTACATTGAGCCTTATGCAGGAATAAAACTTCAAACCTCTTTTTCTCAGTTTCAACTTAATGTGGGTTGGTTCCTTTCTGAGGAGCTTGGTCCAATTGGAACCTCGTTCAGTTTCGAACCTTGATACCTAGAATTCCTCTCGTTCCCCTTCAACTTTGAGGATTGTCTCTTTTGGGAGATTTTCAGTTGCCTAAACTCAATTCAGTTTCGCTTGGCAAAGCGTACCTACTTTGCCCACTCATCACTTACCTCGGTTGTCAATCGCGTTGGCGAGAGGCTTTGATGGATATGGGTCGCGCACAAATGACGGCTGCGATGAGCAATTTTGGGCATCGGTTTGGTGCACACCTGAGTCAATATTACCCATTCCCAAGTCCACGCCCCTCGAGATGTAGATACGCACAACGCAAGTTGGTAGCACTGGGTCTCGTCCATTTGAGTGCATGTGGAACAATCGATATGTATAAATCCAGGTTGCCTCTCCGAATAGTCGATTGTCCCCTATCTCAGCAATACTATGTATCGATTCAAGTAATTCCGCTAATTTCTATTGTCGTTCCTGTAACTTAGAAAGCGTATCTCGATTTTCACATGAACCCCCGAAAGCATAGATTTACATACAAAACACGGCTCATGTGGAAACTAAGATACGTTCTTAAGTGAGAGGGGTGACGATTTAATAAAGACTCAACAATGGAGATGTTGCATGTGTGAGGAATTTGCGATTTGACTATTGATTCTTACGTAAAAGTTCGCGAGAAACCGATTGTGCCACTGGTTTTCTCTGAAATCATCTCCCAAGCTCAAAAAAAGCTCTCAAGTTGAGGCCAAAATGGAGGGGATATCCCACGCTATCCTTAGAATCCACCTCTACATCAAGACAAACTCTCCATGCAAAGATAGGGAGCAAATACATTAGCAGGGTTGCCGCGTTTTCAGTTTGAAAGTCCCCAAATAAAGTGGCAACCCTGCTAATGTATTTGCTCCCTATCTTTGCATGGAGAGTTTGTTTTGATGTAGAGGTGGACTCTTAGGGTAGGATGGATATCCCCTCCATTTTGGCCTCAACTTGAGAGCTTTTTTTGAGCTTGGGAGATGATTTCAGAGAAAACCAGTGGCGCCATCGTGTTTCTCGCGAACTTTTGCATGAGCATTTACAGTCAAATCGCAAATTCCTCACACATGCAACATCTCCATTGACCCGCAGGAATCGATTATCTATTTCGGATATAAGCGAGAGACGAACGGTGTTACGAACATGCGAGAGTTTCCGGTGCAACGAGAACGATGAACGAGAATATAAAGAAGCAGGATGGAGTTGCAATCCTTGCTCCATAGGTTCAAGGTTTTCAAGGTTTTTTCTTCTTCCGGGAAACTGTCACAAGTGCTATTGTTATCCTAATTTAGTTATTAATGTACCGTGCTGAGAGCAAACGATGTATTCACATTTGGATGTTACCAAACTGCTTTAGAAAAAAATTCTAAAACAATTCTACAATGAAACTTCCAAACCATGTCTCTTGGTTTCCGATATTGCGGACTTCCAGTCATACGTACTTTTTAAATTGAGAGCTACTCAACGTCAATTCTCGAAAACTTCCATGATTGTGCTCCTCTGTGCGAGGCCAATTCTAAAAAAAATAAAAAAATGATGCTGATTTGTTCTCTTTTGCAAAAATTAAAATAGGAGCGGTGATTTCTAAATACCACGATAGACATGCGTGGTTTAGAAGTTTCACCGTCAACTTGCGAATTTTTCCTGTGACATTTTCGGAAAATTGTATTCGCAATGAGTCAATGGAGAATTTGCAGGTTTCTAAAAGATAAATTTCTTTGTTAAACGGAAGCTGATTCAATTACCGTCGCTGTGTGGTATCGCTGAACGGCAATCGGGTGAACGTGTGTGGTCCAGTGGCGTGGCGTGAATTGCGATTTATCGATTGTTATGCCATTTAAATCAATGGAAAAGGATCGATAAGTAGGGTGTCCGCAGCAAACACCTCAATAATCGATTCTTCACCATAGATTTAAATGGCATAACAATCGATACATCGCAATTCTGTTGCGGTTAGAGGGTTGGACGGTTTCGGCTAATGATGGATTTGATTTCGTTTCAACTTCCCGTACAATTTTGCCGATTGGATGAAAAGTGGAACTGAAATGAGCTGACGTCAAATTCAAGTTTCCTATCGACTTTCCATCCGATCGTTGCGTTCTCACGTCAATATCATATGATCCAACCTTATTCGATGAGGCTGAATAAAATTTGAATGAAAAGTTGAACCGTGTGAATTGGGCTTTAGTAGCGCGGCTGCTTTCTTTTTCCTGAAGATTTACTCGAAAACAATTGTGATTTTTTTTCCTCGCTTAAAATAAAGTATGCATCATACCCATTTTTTTGCGCTTTTCAATTTCTAGGAAAAATTCAATTATGGAATTTTGTCATGGAAATCGATGAAAGTCCGCATTGCAAGCACATTCTAGGAAGATTATTTTTGAAAGCAAGAGTGTGCGGCGAAAATAGGAAATTTTTGAATGAAGAAATACAGAACCACGCATTTTTGACGCATGGACGTGACGTGAGTGAACGTGTACGTCAATCGCCGTCATACGACAAAAAATACGTCCTATCAATAATAAGCTCATCTAACATCAATACTCATGTATGCATTATATCGATGTGTATACTGAGGTACACTGGAAAAAAAACCACATTGGATCTGGAGTCCAGACTCTTGAAAACATTGACAAGAAAAAGGACTCTTGATTCAATCAGATTTAAAAGCTTAAATCAAAAGAAAATCCGCTCAAATTAAGAGGCTTGGTTCTTGATTTAAGCTTAAATCTGATTGAATCAAGAGTATTTTTTCTTGTCGATGTTTTTAAGAGTCTGGACTCTAGATCCAATGTGTTTTTTTCCAGTGAAACTTGTCAGAAACTGTACAAATGAAGGAGGGAAATTCTCGAGTTATCAAAAAAAAAAAAAATTCTTAAAAAAAAATTCTTCGAGATCCTCCGGTTTTCGCCCTTTCGCGAAAGAGAAATGGGGTCCCTTCGAGTTACCGAGTTTTTTGAGTTGACGAGGTTTTAGAGCTATTTAGGTACCAGTTATCGAGGCTGAAGCGTAGTATCAGTTTATAAATCGCTGTTTTTCTGACGTACTTAGGTGACTTGCACCTGCGTTTGCGTCAGAGCAATGGCTAACGCAAATGGCCAGGAATGAAAGTTCTGATTTATGTCCAAAATATGGTACATATTTTCAAAACACATTACCAAACCGCCACACATGGATGAGACCTCTCGTTCTTATATCAATTTAAGGCATCATTAAGGCAAGGAATGATATGTTGAATACAAACTGTCACGCTTCCTTGTTTTTCAGTCCTATTGCCATGCCTATGGTCTCTTCGTGAATTTATTGAACCTGTTTTTTTAGCAGAAATCTAAAATAACAACAGCAATTTTCTTCCCATCTAATTTTTTTGAGCGTGCCAGTAGGGCTCGCTTTTTTTCAAATTATACCTACTGCCCCAAAGAATAAGAAAGTGGAAAATTCAATCCCTGGCTCAATTAGAAAAACCCCAATATATTTTCTCTGATTCTGATTTACTTCATCATTCTTTTCAGGATAGCCAATGTTATTTTTGAACCTTCGCATCAGAAGACCTCTCTCACGTGTTTAAAAATTTGACGTTGTGCTCGTTTGATTAATTACTCAATCGTGGCCACACATGATCCTTCTTATTTTTTTTAGCAAAGTCTAAAGTATTTTTTGCACTCAGTAGCTAATAATACATTAAAATACTTCTATTGCTTGCATTTGAAAATTTGATTAGCTTCCCTCGATGATATATGCATAGCACTCCTTTGATCGAACGCCCATTCATCATAAGCACGTGGAACTCATCTGTGCATTGCGCATCTGAAAAATAAATTGAGTTAATTTTTGTAACGCGTGTAATAGGATAAGGTGGTTGTCACTTTTCAGTTCAACACTAAAACATACGAAAAAGCTGTCAAGAAAATGAATATTTGGCAGTTTCGATTGATGTGCGGTTGCTCTGCGTACGAAAATTTAGGACCGATAAAATTTGACGGACACTTTACACATTTTACAACCATGATCATTGACTCATCCCCCGATAATTGTTAATTTTAACGAAGCATGTATAATCGCAAATTTATCAACTCATTTGGCACCGCTGTGGCTTTTCCCGCTATCGAGCAGACAATCACGAAACACACCTCCAGAATTTGAAAACAAATACACATTCCGCGACCGAGGGCAAATAAATTCATTCAGGGACTGCTATCACCTGACGTGTGAAAGTTTCACGATTTTCTCGTGTTTTTGTTGACTGCCAATTTTGGTCGTGCCTCAACGCCTTGCTTTGATTACTCAACCTTCGCGCGTGCTTGATACCCTCGTGGGTGGTTAGTGTTCGGTCGGCAGGTTGCAAATTTCAAGCATGGCTCGAAAATTCCTTTACGCGATTTTAGCCATCTGCGCACTCACTGAGGTATGATTCTTAAATAGCATTGACGTGTTCTTGTATTTAGAGTCCCTTTATACCCAGAGTTAAGACAACTCACTTTTGGTTCGGCTGAAAGTGGCCTAAAAAAAAATCCAATTCTGATTGGTTCTCGCTCATGGAGGCCGAAACGAGTGCACCAAGATGGCGGTACCTCGAATGTGAACAAGAATAATGAAAATATCACCTAATTGTGGTTTATCAAGAGTAAATTGTCATTTCCATCGGTCCAAAATGAAAAGAGAATAAGAAATTATTCACAAACCAATCTCATTTTATTTTTAATTGATCAATTTGTTGATGCAGTTGTTTTTGTGTGACAGACATCGCAGGATTCCTGATCCTTATCCCTCAATATCGTTCGTTTGGGTGCACTCGTTTCGGCCTCCATGGCCAGCCAAGGCCGGCTGCCAGTCAGCTGATAATCGAGTTGTCTTAACTCTGGGTATAAAGGGACTCTACTTGTATTGGGAAACATGTGTAAAATAGTAAAATACTCCGGATTTAAAATTTCGTCATTTACGCAAAAACGTACTCTTGAGATCGCAACATTGCATGTTCGAGTCATGATAGATGTTATGAATAAAAGAGCGCAGAATGCAACTAAAATAGACGCATTATGCCAGAGTAAATCTCAGTGGAGCGAATTGAAGCAGTTGAAACAGGATAGTTCGCTCGTGAAACGTTACGAGAAAATTCACACATAGAAATAGGTAGCATAAAAAATTTCCTGTGTAAGAACGCACCGTACTCTCGAACATGAAATTCAGACCTAAGTTTTATCTATATTAATTACAGATGAAAAATGATTATAATTTGCCTCAGTTGGCAGTTCAAGCATGAATATGTATCCAGGCTAACAACAACGTCGTCCAGTGGTGACGTAAATTAAATGGAGCGATGGGAATGAGTGTTTTTCAAATAGACAACTATTCCCGCTTTAAGGTATGATTTTTGCCTGCGCAGAGAGATATTAGGAGAACCTTTGGTAGATAATATCTGCTAATAAGTTTATGTATTGTCTAGTAGCTCTATCAAAGTTTGTGGAGCAAAAAAAGTTGACCCATCCTTTTCAAAAAGTATGTGCTACGGCAAAAATGTAATTCGATGCAGACAAGTTACTTCGGTTTCAAAACTCATTTGGAAACTGATATTGAACACTGTCATGTGGCAAAGTTCCTAAAATAAAAAGAAAAAGAAAAAACAAAAAATAACTTTTCCATAGAAAATCAGTAGAATTTGTTTATTCTATAGCGGTGCCTTAGGAACTTCGGCCATTCAAGCTCCTGCAGTTGAATTGGAAATTTTGCTACAAATCGGAAAACCTATATTGAAAAACAGGGAAATGAAGATGTCAAAAAAATGCGCGTTTTATGTTGTTTGTTTTGAATTGAAACCTGCGGAATGTGATATCTGTGTTTTTGAGTTTCGTTTGAAGTTTTCATATCGAGATAATTCGTTTTACATCGAACTATGTCAAGCTAAATCTCCAAAGCAAGAAGCTCAGTAATATGATGCAGATTGTGGGGTTAGGGGTGAGGTAGTTGCACAGCCCAAAAATTTTTCTCTAGGGGAAATGTTCTACTGTTAAAACTTTTCTTGAGGATGGGATTCCACCATTTAAAAATTCCGGAAAATAAAGAAAAATGACGTTCTCGGGGAAAATTTCCAGTGGGGGCGGGGGGGGGGTTGTCCGGACCCTACACGCCCCCTCCATGCAACCTTGGCTACGCGCTCTGGAGTGAATTTTAGACTTTCCGAGTGTGTATGTGTGTGCGGGATTGCACGACCCATTATTGTGAGATGTGGGGTTTCTGCACACGCTCCTGCCCCCAGTTGTAGGATCATTCTTCATGACCCCACAATCGAAAAATTTTCATGGGGGTGGGGGCATTTTTATGGCCGTAAAAAATAGTCAGTTAGGTTAGTTTATTTTAAATTAGGTTAGACTGGGTTATATGAAATTAGGTTATCTTGGCTAAAATATCCTACGGTTTGGATAGGTTAGGTTAGGTTAATTTTTAACAACGCGCAAATTCGATGACCCCACAACTATTGTCGTGCAGGACTGTTTGTGCAAAAGTGAACCAATACATGCATAAAGGCGTATGTATCGGTCGCTTTTACAGCGCACTAGGGAGGGCGCCAGGGCCGGATTTACCTACTTGCCGCCCATGGGCCGCCTGTATTTTGCCGCCCCCTTCTCATTCGTATTGAAACATCAATAAAAACCATCAAGTGAACGTGCTAGGGCGGAAGGGGTGCATAAGACGCGTTTACTCGTGTTGAACACATTTTTTGAGGATGCCCTGTCAACACTACTAGCAAAAGTTAAGTTTTGTAAACCTATCTCTGTGCGGACAAGGCCTTCCATTCATAAGAAATGAACGAAAAAATTATGAAAAAACAAACATGAATGTGGTTTAATGATTTTAACTTCCGCCGCCGCGCCGCGCAGACCGCACCGTGTTTGGCGCAATGCGTGAAGTATTCACGCCGTCTTGTAGGCGCCATGCGTATCACGCTGACCGCACCGTGTTTGGCGCAATGCGTGAAGTCTCCAAGCATTCTTGTAGGCACTATCCGTTTCACGCTGACCGCAATGACCGCACTGTGTTAGATGCAATGCGTGAAGTATTTGTGCAGTCTTGTAGGCGCTGATATGTGTTATATGTACATTCCAATCGCCGCGTCGATGGCTTCTCCTTTCCATCTCAAGTCCTCGTCAACATTGCTCTCTGCGCCGCACTGTTCCAGGCCAAATTGCGTGTTTGGTTTTTCTGTTAACTTGACTAATTAAAGGTGCTGTCTCTTGTATCACTGAAAGACGACAAAATTAAAAATTACTACACTCTTAGGAAATTAGAGATTTTGTCGCCTTTTCTCGTTTGTAATTTTTTTTTCTTTCTAAATCCGATATTTTTGTATACCTACATTTAAAAAAATTGCAAAATTTGCCGCCCTCTAGATTTGCCGCCATGGGCCACGGCCCATGTGGCCACCCCCTTAATCTGGCCCTGGAGGGCGCTCTGCGCCCAACCGCCACTGGAATCTGTTATGGTATAAATTCTCTAGAGGCTGTCATCTCTCCATCTCTCTTGGGTGTCTTCTATTACCTTTTAGTTTTCCGGGTGTGTTCCCTCAGGTTTTTCACCTTTTTCAATGAGAGAAAATTCCTCTCATAGCTCCAGCAACAGTTTGTAGGCGTCCTCAGGCTACTGAGAGAGATGATCAATTGATCACCCAATGAGAGAAAAGATGCACAATTTGCATATAATTTTACGGCGCATACCAACAGTGGCATGGCGTGCTTTGCGATATATCGATTGATTCGCCATTCAAACCCATGAAAAAAGATCGATTATCAGGGCGTTCGCAGCGAACACCTTAGTAATCGATTCTTTACCATAGCTTCAAATGGCGATTTATCGATAATCGCTCCTTCACGCCACGCCACTGCATACCAAGTTATGGATGTTTACCCTTCATATTTTATTGACTTCTGCCTCCAGGTCCGAGCAGAAACATTGTACTCCGTATCTGGCTACGCTTTTCCGCAAGGCGTGTCCACGACCAACCCGATCGGAATGGTGAGCGCCCTGCAACAGACTCTCAACAGCCACTACAACATGCTGCCCGCCTCTGCGCACACCGCCGCCTACGACCGCGCCAAACAGGTATTCGATATTGCGGCCAGCCGCGCGGCTCAGATCAACACAGCCCTCCCGCCGATGCCCCAGCTCAACACAGCCAACCTCCCCACGATGCCCCAGATCAACACGGCCAACTTCCCCTCGGTGTCCCAGTTCAGCACGGACAAACTCCCGCCGATGCCCCAGCTCAACACGGCTTACTTCCCCTCGGTGTCTCAGTTCAGCACGGACAAACTCCCATCGATGCCCCAGCTCAACACGGCCAACTACCCCTCCATGTCCCAATTCAGCACGACCAACATCCCATCGGTGTCTCAGCTCAGCACGGCCAAAGTCCCCACATTGTCGCAGCTCAACACATCGGATGTCCCCACAATGCCTCAGCTCAACACAGTCAATGTCCCCACGACGTCTCAACTCAACGCGGCCCTCCCGTCGTACACCGCGGAGAATAAGCTCAACACAGTCAATGTCCCCACGATGTCTCAACTCAACACGGCCCTCCCGTCGTACACCGCGGATAATAAGCTCAACACAGTCAATGTCCCCACGATGCCTCAACTCAACACGGCTCTCCCGTCGTACGCCGCGGACAATAAGCTCAACACAGCTCTCCCGTCGTACCCCGCGGCGACTCAGCTCAACACAGCCCTTCCGTCGATCCCTTCGGCAACTCAGCTCAACATGGGCCTTCCGTCATTCTCTGCGAATCAATTCTACACGGGCAACATGCCGTCCGTGCCCGAGGTGGTCCGCCCGTCGAATTACGACATCGCTCAGTTGACGAACGGCCTTCCGCTGGCGCTCAAGCAGCTGCTCAACATCGTGCAGTACGTGAGGAGCGTCTGCCCGCTCTGCCAGTCCATCGACAGGGCCGTCGCTGCCGGCGGGATCCCCAGGGGCTCCTACGCCGTGGACGGCGCCGGTCGCATCTACCGCGAGCAGGGCCAGAGGATCGTCCCCTCCAACTACGCCATCGATGGATCCAGGCTCGTCGATGTATCCACCGGAGTGACCATCATCTCCGTTTATTGACGTCATCACTGAGCTGCGGACCGATTATTGAAATTGGTAGACAAAGCTATAGACAAAGATGACAAAAGCGATATGGAGGGAACCCATTGGTGGAAGCTGGTGGTTACAATGGACAAAGGCAGGAGGAAAAGACTAACTAACGGCAACCCACGAGAAACCCGACAGCTAGTTTATCATTTTCTCCCTTAGTCTATAAGAACCACACATTTCAACCGACAGGATCGCCCCATACCCCCCATGTCTTCTTTGTCTATAGCTTTGTCTATCAATTTCAATAATCAGTCCGCTGAAGACCGATTATTGAAATTGGTAGACAAAGCTATAGACAAAGAAGACAAAAGGGATATAGAAGGATCCTGTTCTGTCGTTCTAAGGAAGAACGCCGTATGGACTTTTAGGCGTTGCCAAATTTCCTTTCGTAAATTACGAATTTCCGGGAAAGTTTGTGCATATTTTTCTTCCAATTTTGCAGATAATTTTGTTCTCAATTATATCTAAAATATCCAAAAATATCAATGTAAAATATGCACCACTTTCCTAAAAAATACTGTTTTATCCGAGGAAATTTGGCAATTCTCCAATGTTCTTACGGCGTTCTTCCTTAGCACAGCAGTATCGGATGGAAGCGGGTGGTTGCAATGGACAAAGGCAGCAGGTAATAGACTAACAAACGGCAACCCACGAGGAACACGATAGTTTGTCCATCATTTTCTCCCTTAGTCTATAAGGACCACACATTTCAACCAATAGGATCGCTCCATACTCCCTACGTCCTTTTTGTCTATAGTTTTGTCTATCAATTTCAATGATCAGCCCGCTGCTGACCGATTGTTGAATCGTATTCAAATGATCTTGATCAATGGATTCCTATGTTAGGCAGGATTTTTATCGATCAAGATTTATTGATAATGTTTCAATAAAGCCGCATGTTGATTATTGAACTTGATAGACAAAAATATAGACGAGGAAGAGGAGGAGAATTTGAAGCGACTCTATTGGTGGAAAAGAGGGGTTGCAATGGACAAAGGAGGTAAGTAATAGCCTAACTAACGGGAATTCACGAGTAGAGTTGGATTGCATTTTGCAAAAAGGAATCAAGAGCAATCCAATGTTGTTAAGATTGTGCTACTTACATTCTTTGCAATCAAATCTCTGAAATCACGCAAAGACTTAAATTTACAAAGTTAATTTTCGTCTTGAAATGACAGTTTATTGGGATATAGTAAAGATAAAACTTGCTCACATGATCAGTTAATGTTTACAAGGTAAAATAAGTGGCACAATCTAAGCAATATTATGATACTATTGGTTCTTTTTTGCAAAATGCAATCCAGTTAGCCCATTATTTTCTCCCTATCAGAACCAGACGTTTCAACCAATAGGATTGCTTAACACTCCGCCTACTTTAACGGGAAAAAAGAGGTAAGAGATAAGTCTCAACTTGAAAATTTCGAATAAATTGGGGTAGTATCCCAATTAATTGTGGTAGTACCCCAGTAAATTAGATCACTAAAACAAATGTTGTGGTACTACCCCAACTTGGGTTGCGGCGCTATCAAAATTAATTGGAAATGTCCGTATCGTCCGACAAATTGAGGGAAGCACCACAACTTTAGGGGATATGACACCAAATACATTTTTTTCTGTGTTGTATCTTTTGTCTATCGCTTTGTATATAGATTTCAATAATCAACCCGCAGGCACTGATTTAAGGACGAAACATTTCGCAAGCCTCGAAAATAAATCAACGGTATGACCGTAAAAAAGCGTATCTCGATTTCGGTGTTTCAAAATCCTCCTAATTTAAGAGATCTGTTTCATACAAGAGACACAGTCCACTGTTATTTTTACAGGTAAAATCGCACGCACATCACGTTGAACACATAAAAAATGATCGTACAATCCACCCTTTGGTGCCAATACTGTGTAATCCGCCTTGCTTTTTTTCAAATTTGTCATTTGGGGACAGTTTCTTTTTAGTGACCCGCAATTAGTTTTGCACAGAGGGATACGTGGAAATACCTTAAATAGAATAAAGAAACAATATCGCCAACTTTCACATCTTATTTACGTCTGATATCGATTGGCTCAAAACATTCGTTTCAACACACAGAAAATCAAGGAAAAAACAAACGCGTGAGAACGATTAAAAGCGTACGTAAGAAACATTAACGAATTCAGATTTGTTTACGTACATGCATGGGTGAATCTAAATTCCGAAGACTGAAAACAACTGTCCGCGAATCAGAGGCGGATCCAGAAATTTGGCAACATCGGATTTCCTCCATTTAAACCTATGCTAAATAATCGATTCTTGTCGACGCACCTGGCCCTCCAAGAATCGATACATTCCCTTAGGTCTAAATGGAGAAAAGACAATGTTGCCAATTTGCTGGACCTGCCAATTCCGCGGATGCCGTAAATTTTAGAAAACGCCGAAAAAACAACGCAACAGGTTCGTCGAGGGGTGAATTTGAACATTGCCGATGGGCTCGAAGTGATTTTCGTGCTGTTTTACCCACGAAAAGTACACATGATCAACTATTTCTCTTGAATGCAACAGACTCATTTTTCTAAAAAGCATTTCTCGACATTTTACGCATCAGATTTTCTGAGAAATTTCTTTAACAGGATATGTAAAAATCGCACGAAATACGGTATAGTAACACGGATTAGTCATCTTCCGAAATATTAAAATGAGACGGAAAATCTGCAATGTCGCAAATCGAAATACGTGGCTTTGTATTTTTAACGTCAAAATTTGACGAAGTTAAGGAGAAAGCAACTGATTGTGGAAATTCATAAAAGTAAAACCATTATACTACTGCCAAGAGTGGTTTATCTTTCATTATTTCCCGCCCAACACGAAATATTGCAGCAATATTGTCAATATTGAAACAATATTGTCATGTAAATATTTCCTTAAATACACTGCAGAAATATGTTGACAATATTGCTAAAATATTTCATGACAATATTGTAACAATATATTTATAAAAATGTTTTCAATATATTTCCAAAATATATTTATGTAATTACTTTTAAAACAGTTTGTAAAATATATTTACAAAATATTTTAAAATTATTTTAGAAATATTAGTTTAAAAATATTTGTTTAATATTATGTTAAAAATATTTTATAAATATTTTTGTAATATTTAAAAATTAATTGCTAAAATGGCAAAAAATGGTTTGCGATTTCTGCAATTTGCTTTTCTTGCTAAAATGCCCACCCTCGTGGCGAGAACGACAAAACAATTTGCAAAAGTGGTAATTTTATTGTGCGAAAATGGCACTATACTTTTGCGAAATTAACATTACTAGTTTATGCTATTATGGCTAAAATTTTTGCTAGATTTTCAAAATGTTTGCCAAATTAGCGTATGGTTTTGCTCTGTTTACCAATTATTTTGCGGAACTTACTAAAATCAATCGCTAGAAAAAAGAAAGGGGGGGGGAAGAAAAGACAAAAAGAAGGGAAAAAAATAAATAACATAACATAAATACATCGACATAAATTCAAACTAGGAAAAAGCTCAAATAATTAAAACTGGAAAAAGACGCAATTATAAAAAACAGTAATTTGGTAAAGAAAAAAATGAGAGAGAGTTAAAAAAAACGAAAATTTGTAATACATGAATAGGAATATGTTGAGTACAATTAATAAAGAATTTGAAACACAAATTACAGGATGAAATAAAAAATAATAAATAAATAATAAATAATAAATTCTGGTAAAATATTATAAGAATCCGTCAATAAACAAACATATTACGGACTCAGAGGCCTGCGATAGTTAAGAGATTGAATTTACGGGCCCATCTACATCAAGCCTGGCTGGTCTGGTGGTAAAGTACTGGACTTCGGATATCAACTCCACCCCGAGGCGTGGGTTCTAATCCCGACTAGGACGGCGCGGATTTTAAGGTCAGTAACAACTCTACGATCCACAACCTGGACGCATGTGTACATTAGAAAGAAAATTAGTACCAAAGACGTCTCCTAGAGTGCGCGCACACGGATATGGAATATGATAACCTCATCGCAAGTAAATATTTTTAAAATATATTATCAATATTACCTTGACAATATTGCTGCAATATTGTCAGGGGGGCGGACAACAAACTATTGCAGCAATATTATTTCGATATTGTTAAAATATTGTTAAAATGTTTTTGACAATATTTCAGCAATATTTTTAAAATATTTCCGTGTTGGGCGGGTTGGCACTTGAAGAATCCCCAAAAATTATAAGATGTATTATCCACTTCCCTCAGGACAGGAGAAAGGATCTCAATGCCGGACACATGGAAGATAATAAAAATTAAATAAGTTTTTTGAAGAAAAATTTGATGAGGAAATTGTTAAAAATAATAAATTTAAGATATTAGCACCACTACATAAAAGTGTATTTTACAAACATTTTGACACATAAAACATTTCACAATTTACAATCGAAAGGAGGTATGATGGTCTGAGGTTTGCATTTCAAATTACTTAATATTGAAAAAAATTTCCGACAGTAAATGGACAACACCCCTTTAAATATTTTTGAAACTATCGAAATTCATTGATGCCAGCTTGATCGCCTGGAATCGATTGTTATAACGAAGTTTAATGGAGGAAAAACAGAGCTCCAAATATCGACACAGAGCTCGGAAGTAGAAATAATCGGAAATTTTGTTTAAAATGTAAATGATCATTAGCAGTTAAAAAATTCAACGGCCCTCGTTACAGGTCATAGTGGGAGATTTCGATGTCTGTAAAGTTCTGGTTCTTCAAATAACCAGAAATGTCATGTGAATCAAGGCCTGGTGATCGTTTCTTACAAATAATATCAAGGAAGGAAGAGAGCTTAATTTTGAATATTTTGTCACTGTCGTTTTTGCTAGCACTCACTTAGACACTCAATTTCATCAACAATGATACGCCAGAATATAGTTACTCTTAACGCACATAATGGTCAAAAGAATGTGTCAGAAACGTCAGGTACAAGCATAGGCGCACTTGAAGAAAGAGGGTCCTAATTAAAACCTGGAACATCATCAAAGTAAAATCAAATGCTCTTTAAAATAATTTGAAAATATTTTACGAAACGTTCAGAAATAGTTGTCGCTCTATTGGAAAATTATGTGGGACGTGAATTCCTTTTGAGCATTGTTAGGAAGACAATCGTTTCTGTGTGACGGGCGCTATGTTAGTAAAATCTTATGAGAAGAGCCCGAGTTTTTTGAAGGGGCGCAGTTTTTACGGTAGGGCTACACGCCAAAGGCTCTCCCGAATTGAATTATAATTAATAAACATTGCTTTAAAGCAGGTTAAAACGCATTTATAGAGCAGGGCAACTGCACTATCTCCCCAGAGCTATCACCCCTAGTAGCAGAACAAATTTTTGTTTTTCTAAAAAAAAGTATAAAAAAATATATCTGTTATCTAAATGGTAGTTTTATAACGTGTAACGCTTACATAAAAAAAATAAAAGTTTAGACCTGACCATAATATATGAAAAATGAGAAAAGCTAGATACGATAATTTTTTTATAGACAATCCTTTTATTTTTTTATATAACGCATGCATACGAAAGTGTTAAAAGTGAATATTTTTATGTAACTAATATTTTAAAAAAAGGTCATAATTTTCGTGAGCTTTTTGCGAATTAGAAGATTTTTTGTGTGTTTGCGAAAAGCTCACGAAAATTATGACTTTTTTCATATGATGGTTATATAAAAATGTTCACTTTTAACACTTTCGTATGCATGCATTATATAAAAAAAATTAACTTTCGTACATAATCTTTTCCTTCAATGGTTCTGCTACTAGGGACGCCTAACTGAATTTTTTAAGAGTCGAGATTCGCCGGATAAGTCTTGTAACTTGTTTTGGAAACATCTGTCTAATTTTTAGTCGAGAAACTCAAGCACTGGATTCTGGGTGTTATTTTTATTGTAAAACGATGGCACCGTTGGGCCCGAAACTTCCCGTGATCCCGAAACAGCGGCACAGGTTCCCGATGATATTGCCCCCTGAGTCATAGACGTTACCTCCCAAATCGATGACGTATTGGCCGGCGATCGCCCACGGCTGGTTGTTCCGCCTATACAGCAGGTTACCTTGTTGGTCCAAGTAGATGTCTGGTCCAAGCACGTACTGATTTCCTGGGGAAAAATTAGCGAAAAAAAAATTCTCATCATTTACGACGCGACAGTAAAGGTGAAATGGACGTATTTCTGTCAAACGGAACTAAGCGCCATCGGGGGAGGAAGTTAAAGGGGGGGGGCTTGGATTGGCGGCGGAACCGGGCGTCGGGCTCATTCCGTCCGATACTCGCAATGCTTTTCCACGGCGCTTAGTTCCGTTCGACAGAATGCGCTATTCGGCATTCTAAAAGCCTCAAAAGGAACTCAAATTGGCGCTTAGTTCCGTTTGACAGATATACGTCCAAATGAGGGACTTGGAGGACAAGGCGCATAACTGCCGTGCGACGCAAAAACGCCGTAAACGCCATTTTAAATTTTTTGGAAACAATGTATTACAGCAAAAAAACTCGTGTACTTTAGAACAGTGTTTTTACAGAATTCTTTTGCAAACTTTATCAAGAATTTAACCTGAGAATTTGAGGTGCATGGATAAAACAGTTTTTATTTCATGCAGTGTTGAGTTCCAAAAAACGCTGGAAAATCTTGATCCATATTCTGCGAAAAATTCGCTTTCAAAATCCATTTTTTAAGCATCAAAGAGTCAGTTTGAACTTCCTCTCTGCTCTCTGCCATAAGGATCCATGTAGTTTCGAAACTTCGAACACTTATTTCTCGAAATAGCAGAAACTGAACTTTTGCGCCATGTCCTCCCAGCCCCTCAAATGTGCTTCAAAGTGGGGAGGGGAGGATAAGATGACTATAACTTCAATTTAGAGAGGTTAATGGGTCGGTTGCGCTGGTCACAGAATCATGTTTTGGTTTTGGATTCTTGTAGATCAGCTAAAAATAATGGGATTAGTCCAAACAACAACTCTACGTTCAATATATACCGAGATATCCCGATTTGAAAAATTCGTTTAATTAACTATGGTTATTTGTTAATTGTTATTTGTTATTTGTTATTATGTATACTTGTTAATACGTTTGATCTACCGTAGTAGTGATACCCTTGGCTTCTTCCACATTGCTCTCATTTGTCAGGGAGACACACATTTTTACTGGTCATTCAACGTGAAACTCGAATGAAAGCAAGGTGGAAGAAACCAAGAATGTCACTACCATGGTGGATGACTTCATAAACCGAATTTTTCAAAGCGCGATATCTCGGTTAATATTGAATGTATAAAGTATGAAGTTGCTGTTTGGACAGACATTATTTGTTTTTGCTAATCCACAAGAATCAAACACCAAAACACGATTCTGTCAGGAGCGCAACTGATCCATTCTGCATCATTTGAGGCAAAAGACACCTACTTATAAATCCAATAACTGAATCTTTGGCAACAACTAGAAGTTTGGGGACGAAAAATAGGGAGTAATAACTATTTTTGCGTCGCTGCTGCCACTTTAAAAAGTGATTCAATACTTCACGCCGTGTATTTCTTGGATCTCCCTGGTAAAAATTGGCAGTAGAATCTGTGTTCCAAAATACCATAGACCTATAGCCGGCTGTAAGATTTTCAATAATTTCTGTAGCCGGCTGCAAAATTTATTATAGCTTTTTATAGCCGATGGCGATTGAGCAACAGCCAGGCGATAAAGTGTATGCTAAATGTTACTAATTACGGATGCTAGGACTTGGTGAGTTTTTGGACTACCGCTCTATTTTTGGGCCGTAGTATCTTGATTTATTTTGGGCGGAAAGCTCCGTACTTTTGAAGAATGCCTGCCATTCCTAATATGTTGGAGCGCCTTCAATTTCGTATGATACTGTGCAATACCTCTGGTGTGAAATAGTCGCTTCAAGCGCCGTGGCACGCTGCGGCGCGGCGGGCGAGCAGCCAGCGCGAAAAGTGCCTAACAGGGATACTTCACGCATTGCGCCATGCGTGAAGTATCCCTGTTAGGTTTGTAGGCGCTGGTGCGCACTTATCACTGGCAGCACGCCGCTCCGCTCTGTGTTAGGCTCCAATATAATCTTACGGAGTCAGCGTTTTTCAACTCATGATTTTGAAATGTTTGCACATCCTGTATGGATTCTAATTTTAATTTATGAAAAAAAATATGTACCTATTAAAGGAAAATATATTGAGTGTTTTGTGAATATTATGGTGGTTCCGTATCAAACTTAATGATTTCCAAAGCACACGAATTTCTATACAATTTCTTATAGCCTTTATAATCGATGGCGAAAAAGCAACAGCCAGGCGATAAAGTGTAAAGCCCGGCGATAGGAACTATAGCCCGGCTGCATAATTTTTTATCGCTTCGTATAGCCCGGCTATATGATTTGCTGCGCTTTCTACAGCCAGCTATATGATTTTCTATTGCCTTCTTTAGCCGGCTATAAGAATTTCTATGGTATTTTGAAACGCAGCTCCTATCGCCAATTTTTACCAGGGCTGGCCTTAGGTTGATATCTCCTCCTCTTCAAAAGGCTAGTGGCATACGCCGTTTTTATCGCTGTTTGAGTTTCATAACCTGACTGACTTTAAAGATATCAATTAAAAGTTTGCTTGAAACAAGAACTAATACTGCTAAAGAAGAACGCCGTATGAACCTTCAGACGTTGCAACATTTCTTTCGCTAAAACCTTAATTTACTTGGAAAATCGTGAATTTTTTCAGACAATTTTGTTCGCAATTTTGTCTAAAATGTCTGAAAATTTCTGGGAAAAATACGCATAATCGTTCTCAAAAATACATGTTTTATCCGGGGCAATTTGGCAACTCTCGAATGTTCATACGGCGCTCTTCCTTAGCGCGGCAAAATACTAGTGATCACCTTTACAAAAGCGACTCACCCGCGGCATCATTGAGGACTTTGCCGTTGTAGGAGGGCTGATACTGAGGGGCGGCCCCGACAACCTGGCCACGTGCGTTGACGATTTGGTTCGCCTGGAGGCTGAAGCCGTTGGGAAGCGAGTGGCTCGCAGCATTCGCGTCGAGGATAGTCGGAAAGATGTAGGCCGGCACCCCGTTCGTCCTGGTGATCCGTACCATCTGCCCGTACGGCGTCAAGTCTGCGTTCAGCTGCAACATTCAATTCGTCGCTTATAATTTGTCTTATTTCTCACAAGTGCCCCCAGTAGAGGCTACGGCCCCAAAAATTGTTGGTGAATCCCTAGAGGAAGTCGACCTCGTACAACAGGGCGAGGTGAGGTCGCCTCTTGTCACTTCCCGTCACGTCCCGTCACCTTTCGTCACCTCCCGTCGCCTCCCGTCGCCTCCCGTCACCTCCCGTCACCTCGTGTGAGCCTATGCAGAGGGAAGCGAAAGAAACGCATAGTTTCGGGAATCCCATCCTTTGCAGACGGTCACTGGAGGTAATAGATGGTGACGGGAGGTGACGGGAGGTGACGGGAGGTGACGGGAGG